TGTCTAGGTATAAGATGCTCATCAAAAAGATATTTCTTCACTAAACCAAGTGTTTATATATTAAGGAATAATAGAGTATCCATTTCCTATCTTATTTAGACAATATATTATTTTAAAACATGAAAAGCAGTATTTACAATACTGTTTATCCTTTAAATGAAATTTCAGTTATAATTAAAATTATTTTAATACTTAGAATCTAAAGCTGATTTTTTTTAAGTTAGCCATGAAGCCACTTCTGCTACAGAAGACTAAAATAACTAAACTTGTTACCTGGTTCTAATTTGTCAGAATGTGTCAATACTGAATAGCTTCTCAGTCTGATTTTTATGGTCTTGGGAGTTAGGAGACAGCTCCTGTTGAGAGTTGTCCAAACTCCTGAAGTTGTTGTGGCTTAAGAAGCAAAGGGGAGTGAATCCTATGTTGGGTTGGTATTGTTAGTGGCGTTTTTTGAGTAACGGGCCCTCTCAAATCAACGTGTTTTGTACTGTCAGGCATTGATGGGGTGGGAAAGCAAGATCTGCTGGGGAGGAATAACCCATGAATTTGCACTCTTGTTTCAGCTGATGGTGTTGCATTGGGTGCAGCAGCTTCTACTTCTCAGACTAGTGTCCAGTTGATAGTGTTTGTTGCGATTATGCTGCACAAGGTAAGTCATCATCCAATAAATCTTACTCGTGCTTCCAAAGACTGTTAAAGCGTATGGAAGTTACTGAAGGTCTGAAGTTTCCTTAGGGATGTAATCTGGAAACGTGTAATGCCATTGAAACGAACAGGCTAGAAATGCAGCTTCATGGACCAAAAAGCACTGGTGTGATGTAGGACAGAATAGTGAGCAGTGGATGTGAAGCCTGAATGGGGTACGAATGAGAGAGAATTCTACTGCCTACCTGGATTGCAATGGTTGGGAAGAGCCTCCCAAAAGCAGGGAGAGAAGAATAGCTCGTGAAGAAATGTGGCAGCTTCATGCTGTCTTTTTTTTCTAGAGGGTGAAGCACAGAAGTATATGCTAGGGTATTCAAGGAGGAAAAGCAGTTTTATGCTGATTACAACAGTGTTTTGGTTCTGTGATGTGCTGAAAATGGGAAGAATATTTGCTATAAAGGGTTTTGGTGTTTAAAGGGCTAGTCTTTTGAAACCACTTGATGTCAGAGTACTAAATTACAACTTCTGGTTACCTCTGTTATCGTCGTAGCTTCAACATCAGTCATATACCATCTCTGCAGGAAAAAAATTCCCACTTGTTTTTTTGATGTTAGCAAGCAAACAGTGGCTCTTGAAGATGTGAAGATCTTTTTTTCCTTAATGTTTGTGCAAAGATATCCATTAGCCCTATGGGATCCAAACGTGTGCAGATGCATATTTGACTTATGGTAGCACACACGCATGTATTACACTAATTAGTCATACATACATCCAAAATTTTGCTTGCATAATTGCATGTTCAAAATGTTAGGAAATCCAGATCTGGCGTGTCTTTTCTTCACTGTTCATATGGTAAATTGTGGTTTACATAACTCTTTAAACGTGGCAATGTCAATGTGTCTTGCTGCGAAGCTTTGTTTAAGGCTATGACCAAGTGAAACTTGCTTTTTATTATTCTTAATGTTCAAATTAACTGACTTCTGAAATAGTACAATTTTAAAAGAGGAAAATTTCGCCTGTGAAAGATTATTAAGATATCTTTGGTATTGAAAGAGAAATTTATTTCTTCTATGCTGTCTGTATTTTTCTAGTTGTCTTATCCTGATTGATTTTGTCTTTCCCATCTTTTTTCCCTTCACTCATGGTTTCCTCTAGGTTAGGAAACAAAAGAGATTCTGTGTATAAAAATTGCTCAATATATTTTAGTTTGTCTTACCTCAGAAATTTCAGGGTGGACTGCTCTTGTCTTTATGTGAGAAAAAAATAGAGTAAATTCCATGAGTAGTAGGGCAGCTATGCCTTGTGGATAAGAGACTGGATGCCAGCAGAGGAAGAAGGAGGAAGTATTTGCTTCCCAGTGGAGAATGAAACTGAACAATGAACTAATCAGAAGGGCTCTTAAGTTTTTGTTCATGTGAAGGCTGACAGTTACCTTTCGGAATTTTTCCCCCTCCATGTTAATAGTAGATTTTTTTGTGTGTGTACTGTAGATAAAGAAACTATTCATCTGAGGTTGCATAGTAGTATCAGGATGAAAAAAGAGATTACATTAAGTTAATGGAGGCGTGGGGATTATGGCAATGGCTCAAGGCAGAATGAACGTTTTAATACCTATAGTGACTACCCAAATAGGTGTGCTCTGATCGCCAGAACATGGGTTTCTATTAGGTACTGTCATTAAGGCAGGGCAGCCTGTGGAATTCTATTGATTTGGGTTAACTGCAACATACCGGTGCTCTCCCTGAATTCCTTCCAGTTCAGTGCCTTTCAATGTAGTAAGTCGTATTTCAACTTTATCTCAGGTTTCGGGGGATTTTAGGAGGTATTGTATTACCAGTGCCTATTGGTTTTTTGCAGGCACCAGCTGCCTTTGGCCTGGTTTCCTTCCTGATGCATGCTGGGCTGGAACGGAATCGCATCAGAAAACACTTGCTGGTCTTTGCATTGGCAGCACCGGTTATGTCCATGGTGACATACTTAGGGCTAAGCAAGGTAGGTCTGCAGTTTTATTCTGCCCAAAATGTTGCTTCGTGGTGGAGTGTGGGGGATGGAGTGTCACAGGAGGGTCCTAAAACATAATTCCTAACTGCTTGAAAGATTTAGCAGAATGGAGATTTTAAAAAAAAAAAGCGCTCCATTCCACTGCTCCCCACTGAGAATGTAAAGATTTACCCACGTTCCAGATTTTACCTGATGACTATCTAACTGAGTGCTTTTCAGTATTGCTGCATGCATCTTTGTTTCAGTATGCAGGTAGAAAATAACTTTTGCTTGTTTCCCCCACCATCCCAGAACTGGGCCTATGCGTTGGAAGTCTTTCTCACACTGCGTCAGAAGTCGAATCCTCAGCTAGAACCGCCTTTTCGCCTCTCATGCTTCTTAAAGCCTACTCTTGTCCTGGCGCTGTACAACAAATGGCCTGTGAAATGAGCCACTGCATAGAATCGTAGAATGGTTTGGGTTGGAAGGGACGTTGAAGACCATCTAGTTCCAACCCCCCTGCCATGGGCAGGGACACCTTCCACTAGACCAGGTTGCTCAAAGCCTCATCCAGCCTGGCCTTGAATACTGCCAGGGATGGGGCATCCACAGCTTCTCTGGGCAACCTGTGCCAGTGCCTCACCACTCTCTCTGAAGAATTTCTTTGTTACATCCAATCTAAACCTCCCCACTTTCAATTTAAACCCATTGCCCCTTGTCCTGTTACTACAGACCCTTGTAAAAAGTCCCCTCACAGCTTCCTTGTAGCCCCTTCAGGCACTGGAAGGTGCTATAAGGTCTCCCCGGAGCCTTCTCTTCTCCAGGCTGAACAAGCCCAACTCTCTCAGCCTGTCCCCATAGCAGAGGTGCTCCAGCCCTCGGAGCATCTTTGTGGACTCCTCTGGACTCCCTCCAACTGGTCGATATCCTTCTTTAGCATGAGTTTGTCCAAATTAAATGTTTCTGCTTCTCATAGCATTTCCTACGACACTCCTGTATTTCTAATTGCTGTGAGCTCTGCTGGTGACACGCTGTGGTGGTGTGTTGTAAAGAATCAAATGTGATCTCATGAAACTCAAGGAATGAGAGAAAAGGTTAAGTAAATCATCTGGGCTAATCCCTTTACTTGCCGGAAAGGAGTCACATTTATACAGAAAGGGTTGGGTTTGTAAATAGGAAGGAGACTGCTGTTTGAGCATTCTCGTGATGCAGGCTCACTCAGAGTTGGTTTTGCATTTTGCACTTCAGAAATAACAGAGAATTGGTAAGGCATAAGAGCTGTCACAGTGGTTCTGTAGTTCCAGAGCAGAAGGTGTACATCTCTGCTCTCTGGAAAAATAACCTGAGACTAATACCAGTGAACTGACAGCACACTTGAGTGGGAAATTGTTCAAGAAGCATTTTGAAACCACCAGGAGTGAGTTTGCCTTTCATTACATTTAATGATGTGTAGCATGATCTTAATCCTGGTACAGATGTGAAGGGGTGCTTGGTTTTGATCTGGAAGATGCATTTGTTTACAAAGTTTGCATGGAAATTCTGGAAAAGTTTTGTGCGTTTGCTTGTACATACAAATGAAATATTGAAATAGTGCTGATTTGGGACTTAAATCTAGCAAATCTTGCTCTGACCGGCAGGGGACCAGGCATTTAAACGCCAACATCTTAATGAACTCTTTGTTTAGAAAAAGGGGAAAAAACCCAAAGTCAGTCTTAAATTTGTAGGTTTGTCATCTGAATTTAATTTTTTTTTTTTCAAAGCACGTTCTGTCATTTTGACATTTTGTATGTTGCTGTGAGATGGTCAAACATGATGTTTCTGCACAGACTCTGGCTTTTTTGCCATTTGAGGGTTCCTGGAAGTCTGAAGTGAACTAACTGGGATGGGAAGTGTCTTTCTGCACCGCCCCCCCCCAACTTCAGAATGCCAGTTGCTACATATGGGGCGCGAGACAAACCAACACACTAAACTATTGTCAGTGTGAGAAAAGGAGAGTTGATAGAAATCCTGCTGTCTGGTCACTTAGAGAATGTTTTTATTATTGATTGAAGAACTTGTGCTTATC